TTATTTAGTCCAACTGGAGTCACATACCTAGCAAAATGCTAACCGGTTCTCGCCTAAGCAACAACCAAAGTCGAATAGATTGCCCTCCGCGGCAAGTCAATTGTCATACGTCGCGGGTCTCCTTAGGACTTTCAAATCCTATGGGAACTCAACTTGAGCTTCAATACATCAGCTTTAATCAATTCAATCAAATACTAAAAATTTGAAACTGTCTATATGAAACTACAAGATGCTAAGAAATGACTCGAATTTCTAAATAATGTGTGTCCAATATAGTCCTCTAGGAGAGCCAAACAAAAAATCCTAAGGCAAGATTCTAGGATAGACATCATAAAAAAGAGGTCAATAATTTATCCTACACATAGTCATCATGAACTTCATCAAACAATTCTTAGCGAGTATATGAAATAATAAAAAATAGTTCACAATGAAGGCAGAAGGCAAGTTTGCTCCAAGGGAAGGACTGCTTGAATTCAGAGGTCAACGCATAGGGTATAAAATATGTGAGTGGTAACCCACAAAGAATGCTATTCAAATTCAAAGAGAATGACTACCTGGACTCAAAGGTCAATGCATGAACCATAAAAAAAGTGGGTGGAAACCCACAAAAAATGCTAATCAACTTCTGAGGGAAGGGTCGTTAAACCCAAAGGTCAATGCGTAAATCGTAAAGTGTGAAATAGGTAGGCGGTAACTCACAAATAAGGTGAGTCAACTTCTAAGGGAATGACTGTCATAGACCCGAAGGTCGACACATAAAGCGTAAAGTAAATGGGTGGTAAGCCATAAAGAGGGCATATCAACTTCCACTGGAAAGACTACTACAGACCCGAAGGTCGACACATATAGCGCAAATGCATGATTTGCATATCTCGGGTCTAGGTTGGATTCTCCTAAAGAGTCATCTTCCCTATCCGTCTCTTTAAATATTTTCTCTTTAAGCCTAAGTAGACATCGTCACTCTAGTTCGGGTGTTAAGAAAAGATTCTCATTTTTTTAAGATGCCTTTAAATCGACTACTAATATATTAACCATCTCAATGTTGCTTAACAATTCTCTGAATCATAATACCATGAGAATTTTATTAAGAGAATTTTGGCATTTAAATAATCAAAAGAGTTTTTGTATCACCACTTCTAATTTTTTGCTCACCTAAAGATTCTTCTCAGGAGTGTTGGTTAGTTTTTATTCTAAAGCCTTTTACACTTTTTAATTTCCCTGAGAATTATTATATTTGGTTGAGTTATTTTTCTTTTAAAGAGTTGTTCTTTCTTTTTGAATGAAAACACTCTTTTAATTTCCGAGTTTCTAAATTCTCTTAATAAGAATTCTCAGCATATTATGTTACATCATTGTTAAGCTCCAATGAGCTTAGTCGAATAAACATGTAGATGATTTAAATCAGAGTTTCTTCCAAAGTGGTGATACAAAAACTCTTTTGATTATTTAAATGTAACATAATAACTCTTCCTAAAACCTAATTTAAATAGTCTTTTAAGGACTATTCACATTTTAATGACATCGAGTCAATCATTCTGATACTTTATTAGGTTTTAGTAGAAAGTTCATTAAAGAGAAAGATTCAGTCATCAAGGCTTAATTCAAATCCCCCAAACCATGAAAATTTGTAAATACAAAAAAGGAGCATAAATGGTCTAGTTAAATCCATCCATAGGATTTATCGTAGGCTCCACATCAAGGTGGATCTAAGATAAGATCGACTGGGGTATTACTCCTTCCAGATTGTCTCAACAACTTTCTTAATTAAAGCCAATCAAGAGATATAGGGGTAAGAAGCTATTTTACCCACTGCTCATGGTCAAGATGAGATATACCCCTGTTAGATAGATAGATGTCTAACTGATAACATCGGATATTGAGGTATTCCGATGAGCTATGGACTATTTAGGTGGGTAAAGTACTATAACTGATGTAACATGACATTTTGACAAGGTGATAAAAATCAACCAAGTCAATCAAAATATCAGTGAGGTTGGGTATATGAGGTTGTCCAACCTGTGATAGTGCTCTTTCTCATGGAACCGTATACAAAATTGACAAGGTTTCTATCAAATGAGGCACCATAATGTAGTCAGGAAGTTAAAATTATGGTATAGCTTGACTAGATCCTTCGCTACGTAAGCGAGGATGCTTGGAAGTGAGATGCTCTCATCAAGAACTATTCATAAAGGTAAGGTAGTTCGATTGAATGAGACACTCTCAGATGGTGAATGTGATGTGTATTCCAACTAAACATTGATTGAATTAGATGAGTAAAATGGCTTAAACAAGTGCAGGTGGAGCTGCCACAATGGTATCCATAATGGTATCTGATATGCTATCTGGTGCAGTAGGTTAGGTTGTCACGCCAAGGTCCTATGCAACTCATCAACGGGCCCTATAGCTTGCACAATAGAAGTCAAATATCTCAACCTCGTAACAGATTGATAGGTGAACCTCGATCTCCTACTACGAGGACCTATAAAATAAGAAGAATTGATAAGTTTTTGCATCACTTGCACAGATGTCTAAAGGATATGAGCAAAAAACTTCTCTCAAGGAATATGACCCAGTCATCATAAAAGGAAGCTGCTCCTACACAAGTTAGTAGTAGCATTATCAACATGGACAACAAGCTCATGGTGATATGCATCTCAAGGAGGGAAGAAACTCCTAACAATCCTAGCGAGGCATAGTCCACATAGCCAGAGGAAACAAAGAATGATCCTTAGTCGACGGGATTTGAACATCATCCCGGGTTGGAACCGAAGCAAGTCGTGGCAGGGACATGGTCCACACAGCCAGAGGAAAGAGGGATACTTCTCAGCTAACGGGATTCAAGTGTCTCATCCCATGTTGGAACCAAAACACGTTGTATCAGGGACATGATCCATACAACAAGAGGATGGAGAAAAGCTATTCTTAGCTGACGAAATTTGAGTGCCATCACAGACTGGAACCGAAATGAATCGTGGCGGGGACACAGTTTGCATAGGCAGAGGATGAGAATTTTGATTCTCAGCTAACAAGATTTGAGCTTCATCCCAAGTTGAAACTGAAACGAGTTATGATGGGGGCATGGTTTGCTCAACTAGAGGAGGAGAAAGGTGATTCTCAGTCGATGAGATTTGAGCAACATTTTGGGCTAGAAAAAAATGAGTCATGGCTGGGACATGGTCTACACAGTCAGAGGACAAGAAAGAAGATTTTTAATTGACAAGATTTGAGCGTCATCCTAGGCCAGAACAAAAATGAGTAGTGGTGGGGACAAGGTCTGCACAACCAAACAAAAAAGAAGAATTCTCAGCCAACGTGATTTAGGCGTCATTCTAAACTAGAACCAAAACAACTCATAGTGGGGACATCCGCACAACCAGACAAAACAAGTCATGGCAGCAAAAATGTTCACACGACCAAACAAAACAAGTCATGTCGGCAATATGGTCCACACAACCAAATAAAATAAGTTATCACGGGGGCATGGTCCGCATGACCAAACACAACGAGTCATGGAGAGAAGATACCGTAAAGGTATATCTATTGCTCCTAAATAATGCTACATCCTTGAGAATTAAAATCTTCTGAAGCGTAAAAGAACCATCAGAGAGCCTAGAAGAGACAAAGGAACACTACAGTGCGTCGTCATTTGGTACTATTCTTTTCTTAGAAAAAAGGGTAGTACAGACATGCCATGAGCACAACTCCTCTTCTTCAGAGGAGGGTATATAATAGACACCTCAGAAAGCATATTATTACCCAATAAAATCATAATATGGTGCTTAAAATGACCAAAAGTATTGGTTAGCTCTTGCACATCGAGAACACCAGGTATAAAGGAAATGACATGCCTCCTAGGTGCTTTGATCGTAATCAACCCTTGACTGACTATTTCTATCAATTAAACGGGGACATCAATCAAGTACACTGACGATGAAGCATACTCGCAATAACAATCTCACGAGATCTACGGTTAAAGATGAAGCCATAATTATTGTTTCGTAAAGTAATATAATGAATTGACCTACCTCTAATTGCCGACACGAGGTCAATGAAATCTTCCATGGGAGAAAGTCTTTCTGTAATGAAAATTTCTTCGTGGACATCACACTCACAATCTAGAGAATTTCCTTCACCAGAACTTTTCCTTTGCAAATTCAACACGCTGTGCCATGTAAAGCAAACCAAAACAATTCAATACATAGCAGGTCAAGTGTAGCTGAATTGACAACATATCCCTTTGGTCAATTTTATATGAGTGAATTCAATTTTCTTTTCATCTAGCATTTTCAGTGCAAATGAGAGGGCTATTACTCTTAGTTCCTTTAAGAATAATATTTATCCAACTCAAATTAATTTAGAACAAAACTTTTCTAGATATAATTTTATAATTAAATTTACAAAAAATTACATTAATTTCATAAATTTTTTTAGTACATAACTTATATTTGTTATTTTATTTATCAATTGATATTAAGAATTATATACATACTTTTTATGTTTTTATATTATCTAATATCTAAATTTTAATATTATATTCATAAATTTTCATTTTTTAAAATTGCATAATAAAATAATTTTATTAATTTCTTAGAAACTAAATTTATAAAAGTGAATATTAAATTTAAACTGTTGGACACGCAAATTCATAAGAACTGTTTGGTAGATTTGTAAATTTCTTTAATTTATTTTAAAATAAATGTAAAAAGCTTTAATTATCCTGATTTGATTTACATTCTCGGACGCACACTGCCTCACACGTAAACGTCTTATCACCGTCCATTCTGATTAAAAAACTGAATGGTGATCTGTTAATCCGCATAGAACGGACTATGCGGCTATATGGGGAAATGAATTCCTCCGCCCACCAGCTACTGCTGGAGGTCTCTTCTTCCACCCCCCTTCGCCCACCAGCTACTGCTGGAGGTCTCTTCTTCCACACCCCTTCGCCCACGCAAACAGTTGCGTACGTCTGTAACCTGCAAACAGGTTACAGCAAAGAATCTCTCTCTCTCTCTCGCCTCATACCAGTTATTTCGCACGCTGTGCTCTTCTTGGTACGCTTTCCGAGTAAAGAATATCTGTGTGACACTCTCTTTCCAGCTCCGGCTTACTCGAGGCAGATAGTAAGCCGAAGAAGAATACATCTTCTTTCATCTGGGGTAGAGGAGAGCTGGGTTAGGGTTTTTTTTTTCTGGAGAGGAGGCGATGGATTCGGATTCGTGGAGTCGGCTATCGTTGGCTTCGAAGCGGCACCAGTCTACTTTGCAGTCGCGATATGGTGGGTTTCGGATCGATAAGATCGGGTTGATGTTTTGCTCTAGTTTCTTTTGGTTTTCGGAGGGATTTTGATTGGATTTGTTTGGATTGGTAGATCAATACCTGGGAATCGAGGAGATTGAAGGGGATGAGGACGAGTGGAGGCCGGAGTTTCCCTGCCCGTTATGTGACGAAGATTTTGATATCGTTGGTCTCTGTGTCCATATCGACGACGATCATCCATTTGAGGCGAAGAATGGGGTAGCGGTTCTTTCCTTATCTAACGTTATCGAATTTTTGTTGTGCTTCTGTGATTGATGGCATCAAATATTTATTTGGAGTATGTTGGTATTTTCCTGTTAATTGGAACTGCAAAGTCTTCTGGCCTCCTTATTTAGCTTACCGGTAAAATATTCTCTATTGAAATTTTGGGATTTGGTTTTTCTTTCGACTGAAGACCAATACTCAACTTCTGCTTTGAGTTTTGTTATTGCTCGCTTTGTTTCTTTGCCTACATCATGTTGGAGCTCTTAGAGGCTCCTTCCTTTTCTACGTTTAAGTCTGATTATGTCGTAAAGATTGGAACTTAGACTTTTTATTAATTTCTTTTAGCGGTATTTGCATACATACCAACCCAATTTCTATGCATTTGCATATCTAACATCTAAAGTTTGCTTTTTTACATCTAAAATTTGCTTTCATATCACATAAAACATCTTCATTTAACGTAAAAAAAAATGTGGAATGCACATTATTATGCATAAGTAAGGTGTTATATATGCAAAAAGTGAAGCTTAGGTGTTAGGTATGCCAATACATAGGAGTTGAGTGGTACTCATGTACATCTGGCTTTCCTGATTGTAATAGTGATTTTATTGTTTTTTTTTTCTTAGCTCTATGAACTCGTAAAAGTTGAATTCAGTTAGTTCAAACTTTATGTAAGACAAGTTGGTTATTGCTAATTTTTTTCCCTCTCGAATTATTGATTTTCTTCTTCTGGGATTTATCTTTTACATCAATTAGAACATTTTACTTACAAAAGATGTAACAATCTGCATTATTTTTGCAAGCTCACTTTAATTGGTATTTAAGTTATTTTCATAGGGCTAAGTTACATGTTGTTGTGCTTATTTGAATCCGTGTTTTAATCACTCGAAACATTTACAAATCGAGCACCTTTTTTTATCCATTTTCAAAATTTCAATCAAATATCAAATTTCATGATTAAACCCCAACCCATATCTTCGTTTTTATCAAATTCTCAATGGTTTTGATCGTGGCACGTGTAAATGCATCGCTTTAGTAGTTTTAAAAAAATCAACTGGGTGTTAGTTCTGTAAATATCTTTTTTTTGAGTGCTATTTATGTTATTATTCTGTGACAACCTTTCTCATAATTCTTTGTTCACTTGTTCTATTGGAGTTCCTTAATATTGTTCTTTTTTTGAGTGCAAAGTTTCTAGCTGTTTCGAGGAGATCCTTTTAACTCAAGTAATTCCCTTATATGATCCTTTCAGGTTGGCACTTCAAATTTTGTGGAGCTTTCTAGTTGAATGGCTTAGATAAAATACGTGGGCTTGGGAATAATAGTGATGGATATCACTAGCTTGAACCATGGAAAGTCATTTTTATTGTTGAAATAATACATTTAGGGGCTGTGTGGTAATGGATTTTAGTGGAATTTAACTTGAATTTGCCAGACAGAAAAAGGGCAAATTTTAAATCTTTCATTAAGTAAATTCAGTTTCCCCTAATTCCTCTCAATTTTGTTTTGCATTGGTATTGGGAGGATTTAGTAAATTCGAATTTAAAGGATTTACTAAAGCTGTACCAGACGACTCCTTAAGATCGACATCCCTTTGATTTCATATTATTGGGAGCCTTATGCAAAAGACACACTTCAAAGTTTGAAAAATCGTTAAAGTTTTATTCCTTTTTTAAAACAATTTCAATTACAATTAGGGGTTAAAATTTTTTATTTCTAACATGCATAGTAGCTTTGTATTTCGCATACAGTGAATTTTCTTGAGAAAATTCCATTCTTTTGATATCTTCAACTGATATTACTTCATTTTGGTTCGGAATTAATCAAAATAAACACAATGAATGCACATGGAGACCTTATAGTAGAATGATCATATTTATATAAATATGTACATAAAGACATGCATATGTTTTTACAACTATTGAACATGAAAATGAAAATGTCAATAACAGATAGTGTTAGTATATAGTTTCTAATTTTTTTATATTGATAAATGATTCGTTGATATCTACTAAACATCTTTGGTGTATTCAACAGAAGATTAGAAATATATATGAATATCTGACAGGCATGATCAAGGCATGATCAGATCATGATTGTTGAAATAAAAAAAAGAAGCTGCTATGGTAATTTTATTGAGCATATGAAATGCAAAATAGATTAATGTGGTTTTGGCTTGACTGATCAAAATAAAGATGAAACTAACGTAAAAAGATTATGAAGGGGATGGCTACTCCATATATGTTATTGACAATTGTTTTTTAAATATTTTTATTTTTTCTACTTTAAATGGGAAGTACTGATATAAAAAGAAATTAAAAAAAGAATTAATTGCCCTTTGCATATAATTAAGGTTGTTTGATAATGATTGCAAATGGCAGCATGATACTACATCTATATGAGTACACTTCATTTGCCAAGATGTTGGTATATCACCCTAAATTTGTTTATGTTTAAAATTTTCTCTTAGGACTGGGGCGCACAAAATGCTAAAACTTTTTACTTTATTTTTTTGGACATTTGATACGTACTGCCCAATTCCTATGTATTTACATATCTAACACCAAAACCTTGCCTTTTACATTTATACCGCTCAAATCATTCCTATCACATCAAAAATATCACTACTTCAACTTTTAAAAAGTAAAATATAGCTTTTCATGCATAGGCAGGTGGCATGTATGTAAAAAAATGAAGTTTAGATGCTAGATATCTAAATGCATAGGAATTAAGTGGTATGTAAATCTTCCTTATTTATTTGTTGAAAATCTTGTTTAGTTTTTTTTTTCAAAAAAGTTGAAGTGATTTATACTTATCTAATAGAAAGAGTGATCTGCTGGATTCTTAATGCCATGGTTGAAATTTACTTCTTTTTTATTGATGAATCTAATGAATTAATTATTGTCTTAAAAAATCTTTCGCATTCCTTCTCTATTTTTAATTAAAATATCTGAACTAACATGAACTTATTCTCATCTCTATCATTTTTTTGGAAGGTATGTCCTATATGTTTGGGAGGAGTAGGAATGGACATGGTGGGGCACATAACGGTGCAACATGCCGATTTATTTAAGATATCCTTTTATCCATTTTTGTTATTTTAAGTTATTATGAACTACATTTTTTATTTTATTATTTGTGCACTATGTCTAGTTCTTTTTAAAAGTTCAATTCCTTAATGTGACTTACTCGCAACATAAGAGGAGGTTACGAAAAGGTTCATCTGGGTCTCATGGTGCGTTTAATTTTTTGAGGAAGGAGCTACGGGATGGGAGTTTACAATCTCTTCTTGGGGGATCCTCACGCTTTATTACTCCCTCGCATGCGGCACCTGATCCATTGCTTTCATCATTTATCAGTAATGTGCCTATTGCTGATTTTTCTAAAGTGGTGGAGCCTGAACCCTTGGCTGAAGGAAAGAGGAAGATTTCAGAGGAAAAAGTTGTAGAAAGGTATGGAAAAGTTTTTTTTTCTTGGGGCATTTACATACATACCACCCAATTCTTATGTATTTACATATCTAACACTTATAATTACTTTATACATTTATACCACTCAAATCTTTCATATCAAATCAAAGATGCTACCATTTTAACTTTCAAAAGGTGAAATTCACCATTTCATGAATAGTTAAGGTGACATCTATGCAAACATTGAAGTTTGGGTGTTAGAAATTGAGTGGTATATTCTTTTTCAATTTTATTTTTATCATTATTATGGAATTTTTTGTTAATACAAGTAGATCTATTTGTTTATGCATCACTTCTTCATTTATTTTACATTTAATAAGTTCATTGTTTGTGATTTCTTGTTATCATGCAACTTAATTTACACATGTCAATATAAATGAAGCTCTATTACTTTTCTAGGAATGTTGGTTTTCATTGTCATCAATTGCCTTTTCCTAAATGGTTAAGATTTGTTGTTTAAGGTGTTAAATTTATTGAGTCATTTGATTTAATTTATATCAATGTTATCTTTGTTCAAAATTTTTTAGACTTTCTGCATTAATTTTTTTTACCCATCTTATTGGTGTATGTTCTATAATGGATCTTTTTTCTACTACTTGATTTTCAATAGTGCTATTCCCATGGTCTCCATCTTATAATCATTCTCTTTCATTATTTCGACATGCATTCATCTTAACATTTTTATTTTAATATATACAATTTGCCTACTTGTTACTTTAGTGCCCAGCATTTAGATTCATGCAATTTATTAAATTAAAGTCTGTTACATTTATGTTTATGTTCTCATAATGCCTGTATCAACTCAAGTTCGATCGAGCAAGCCTCACTTGTTGAGTTTGATTGAGCAAAGCCCTATGTCATGTTAGGTTCAAATTGAGTTAAAAGTGCTTTTTTAAATTGAATTTTGACTTAATTCAAGCCACATCTTTTAATTTAAATGAGAAGTTTTAAAATCTTTATTTAATAATAAAGTATATTGATATGCTTTTATTAAATTTTTGTTCAATATTAATTATGTATAATAATAGCGTGCGTTTAATTTTTTTATATACAAACACACGTGTGTGGGTGCCCACCTGCGCATCTTTAATCTCAAGTTGAATTGAACTATTTTAAGCAAGCCATCCTTGCACGAAGGAAAACAATTTAATTTCAACTTGACCAAACCCCTAAACCCTAAACGAAGGAAAACAATTTAATTTCAACTTGACCAAATTTAGAATGATGTTCAAGCAAATTTTTGAGTTTTGAACCAAAAAAACCAATTTTTATATCTCCATTATATTAAGTTATTCGATTTTCAAGCCATAGTTCTTGTTTTCAAACAATCTCTTAACAATTTTTTACTTCCGTTCACATCCACATTCTTTTGCATAGCATCTCCATGATATTTAAGCGTATCATATATAGTTATTATATAATAATATAGTTGAATCAGTTGATAATTATTAGCTCATATCCATTAAATTTCCATACAGTATAGTCGGTTTTTTCTTTTTATTCTTATGCTTATTGTATTTCAACTATGTCCTTTATTTCAATAAAAGTTTTACTAATTAAATTTCAAATGACATACACCAAGGAACTTCACTTGAATATACTTCAAAAGTGTTGCAATAATCAATAAAAAAGATTTGAACTTAGTGATATTCTTTCTTAAAATTTTACTATGGCAAACTTTTACTTCAATTTTTTATTTATTGTGAATCAACCATATCTTTGGTAATCTAAGACGTTTCAAACTATTTTTTGAAGTGCGTCAAATTTGTTCTCATTGTATTTAAATATTTCTTGTGAGCGAAGTAATTCAATTTTAATTTCCGTTTGACTAAAATTAGAGTGATTTTGTGGTTACTTTAGTTAAAGTTTCGAAAAAAATTACTAGTCATACTTTCCCCTCGTATAAACTCATCACATAGTTGCCTGAAGGTTCTTTTTTATGTTTTTTCATGCAATCTTTTAACTCCAGAGGTTGTACACACTTCCACATTCTAACTCTTTTGCATAATATCTCCATGATATTTACAAATTTTATGCATATTTATTATTTGATATTCTAGCTAAATTAGCTGATAATTATAAATCTTGTATCCACTAAAGTTGCATATCATATTAGTCACCTTTTCCCTTACAATCTTATGTTCGTTATAATTTTAAAAATGTTTTCTATTTCAATAAAGTTTGGACTAATTAATTTATATTATGTTTGCAAATAACATATACTATCTCAACAAGCCCCAAAAATATATGGATTTTATAATATTTTTGCATGTAATTCATGTAATTGTACTAACGTAGTAAATTCTTTGTCATCTCAAATTTTTTTTTAGTTGTGAATATTCCATCGTACACATCCTTAGTAATCTAAAATATTTTCAAATCCTTTTATTAGAGTTCATTAAATTTATTCTTATGGCATTTGATCACGGGACTGCTGGAGATTAATAAAAATCATTTAAAGACTCTATCTTTTTATACTTCTTCATTGAATGTTTTGCACATAAAATATCCTGCCCAATTATTATTCATTGGATTGAATCAAAATATTTACTTGATACTCATGTGATTTTTCCCGGCCAATGTTTACTTAGTCTTTCGTAATTTCATTTTATGGTTATTAAGCTTGATTCAAAAATATGTTATAATTATCACAATCTTAAACGCTCGTATTTAAATAATGATTTTAAGATCCTTCTATACTACTTTGTTATGTTCCTAGTATTTAATTTAAAATATTTTATTAGTAAAACTACTATAATATCTGGCATGATTCTCTAGTTCTCAAGAAGCATCTCAACTGCACTCAATGATACTTATAAATTTGTACATCTTTTAAAGAGTTAAAATAATTATTCTTTATGGAATTTCTAATTTTCATTATATTAATGTTATTATGCTCTTTTAGAAAATCTATTCCATAAACCTTTTTTAATGATTTATCAAAATAACGTGTTCTTTTTTTGCTTGATTTCAAGTTATGATCTATTCAGCATATCTGTTAATAGCTGTTGATTTCCTCATTCAAATAGTTAACAATAAGTGCTATAGTAGTTTGTACATTCAAATGTGTATATCACTTTTTAAAAGTTAAAATAGTGGTGTATATGAATGATTTGGATGGTATAAATGTAGTAAGTAAAATTTAGGCGTTAGATATGTAAATATATAAAAATTGGGTGTATGTATGTAAATGCCCTATTGTTACCTGGATGTCTGATTTGGAACCATGTTTAATTTTTTTTCTGACTTCGTGCATGATGCATTTAGATCAAAATGGTTATTAATCTTGGCTAACCAAGTTAGATTCGGTTAACCTTTTGAGTTAGTAAAAATAGAATGTCCTGGAACTAGTTTTATTTGGGTCTTAATGTATCCAACTTGTAATATAACGACTTTGATTTGTAGTAGGTTGGAGATTGATGGAAATAGGTTGTAGTAGTCATGTTTTGGGCTTATATTATTTATAAAACGGTGTCTGCAGGTTATATCTATTGTAGTTTAATTTAGAAGCAAACCACTTGGTTCTTTTTTTCTTTATTCAACCGTTGAGTATAAGCCTTTGTAGATGGGTTATAAGAGCAAATACAAATAAAAGAAAATTGGTAAGTTGGCCCGAGTATGGTTAGAATGAATTTTTATGCAGTTTTTTTTTTTTAATTTCAATGTAGTCATTCAACTATACAAAATTGATCCTAATTTTGTCTCTGAGGTGATAATTTTGGATTAATTTTATATAGTTAAGGGACAAAATTGGAGAAATGGACAAAATTGGAGAAATGTGATATCTTAGGACTAAAGTAGCCACACATATAATCGTTAGGAAATTAAAAAGTTGTCTGACGAGTGAAGAAAGAGTATATTGGTTTTTATTTTTAAGAATAAAGGAGATGTACAAGTGTGTTCAAATTATAGATGAATTAGGTTAATGTGTCTTACATTAAAGTTATGGGGGAGACTAATTGAACATAGAATACAATGCAATACAAAATTTCTCAAATTAATTTGGATTTATACCAGGCAAGTCTATTCTGGAAGCTAGATATTTATTGAGAGGTTTGATGGAAAAGTTCAAAGAGAGTAAGAGGATCTACATATAACTTTTGTTGTCAAAAAAAGCTTATTATAAAACACCAAGCGAAGTTCTTCGAAGAGTTCCAGAAAAGAAATGTGTTGATATTATTTATATTCAAATCATTAAAGACATTATACTAGAGTTGTTAGTTGTGTTTGAGCACAAGGATGGTTGACCAAATATTTTCCTATTTTTGTTGGATTACATTAGTGATCGACTTTAAGCTAATATCTTTTTGCTTTAGTTATGAATCTTATTGGACATTTGCAAGAGAGTGTACCTTTGCGTATGCTTTTCATTGACAATATCATTTTTTTGTATAAAATTAGAGAGAGAGTTTACAGAAAAAAAATTAAATTATGTAAGTCAACTTTAGAGTCTAAATTTCATTTGGGTTGATCTAAAATTGAATACATTGATTGTAATTTTAGTAGTAGTAGATCTAGTGGCGTGGTTGTAAGTATGGGTGATAAAGTCATTAAAAGGAGTTAACGTTTATTATTCAAAGTGATGATGATATCCATCTTTTGGATAAAGATTAAAGAGATTTCGGGAAAATTTTGAATTATGAAAATCTACTTTAGAGTCTCAAGGCTTTCGTTTGAGTTGATCTAAAACTGAATACATGGAGTGGAGTGTAATTTTAGTAGTTCTAAAACTGAATACATGGAGTGTAATTTTAGTAGTAGTAGATCTAGTGGTAGTGTTGTAATTATGGGTGATTGAAGTCTTTAAAAGGAGTGAACATTTTAGATATATCATATCTATTGTTCAAATGATGGTGATATAGATGCAGATGTTATTAATAGATTCAAAGTTGGATGGTTGAAGTGGATTCAAGCTGATATCATTCTTTTGGATAAAGATTAGAGAGAGATTGTCAACTTTGAAGTCTAAAGGATTTCGTTTGAGTAGATACAAAACTGAATACATGCAATGTAATTTTAATAGTATTAGATCTAGCGGCAAGGTTGTAATACTGTGTGATCAAGTCATTAAAATGAGTAACATTTTAGATATCTTGGATCTATTGTTTAAAATGATGGTGATATAGATGAGGATGTTATTAGTAGATTTAATTTGGATGGTTGAAGTGGAGGAATGCATCGAGCTTATTGCGTGATAGAAAAGTACCACATAGACCTGAAGGGAAATTTCATAAGATTGTGGTAAGACCTGCAATACTTTATGGCACAAAATGTTGACCTATAGAAGAGAATCATAAAATTAAGTTAAGTATTGCTGGGATGAGAATGCATAGGTGGATGAGTGGTTTTATTCTTTGAGACAAAATGCGAAACGAATGTATTCATGGAAGGTTTGGAGTAACTCCAGTGGTATACAAGATTAGAGAGTTGTCTTAGATGGTTTGATCACATTAAATATCGACAATCTGACGTCCTAGTTAGGAGAGTAGATGTTTTATTTTGGCAAAATTTAAGAAAGGTAGACGAAGACTTGAAAAGACTTGGGCATGTTGTATAAAAAATTATATTAATTTATTAGAAATAAATGAAGGTATGACACACAATAGGACACAATGTATAAAAAAGTTTCATGTAACCGACCACTCTTATTGGGATAAATACTTATTGTTGTATGATAGTGGAAAAACTCTTTTAAAGTTTAACCCACTTATTATTATAAGATGTTAGTTAACCGAGCATGGATTGATTTGATAAAATTGCATTTCTCTTATGGTATTTGGTGGGCGATTGATTCATGAACCTACATACAATTTGACCACAATTGCCAAATAAATCAATGCTTTGCAGTGCACCTTTATAGTTGTTACCATTTTACCGTCGGCTATAAAACCTTAGTGTTTGTTTGTGATCAAATTTATTTTTTCGTTTTTCTTTTGTTTTAAAAATGTTTTTGTTTGGTGTGTTTTCTATTTTTTTAATTTTTTGTTTAAAAAAAATTAACATGTTTTTTGAAAATATTCAAATTAATTCTTATGTGTTTTGAATGTCTTTAAAACAACTATATCTTAATCATCTTAATCAAATATGTCAAACATATTTTGTATAAAGTCAAAACAAACGTAACAAATTAAAAACATAAATAAGAAGTTAAAAAGACAAAAGTGATTTCAAACGATCTCTAATTTTTTGGTTTTCGGAGTAGTTGGTTGCGCATAATGGGCCTACGCCATTTGGCATCTGAGCATATAGGTGTGAGAATGATGGAAGACTATCGAAAATACATGAGAACATCTCATATTTTTTATCTTTATAGTGTATGATTGTGTCATGGACTATGTATACCATGACATACAACTCATTGATTAATGGGATTGCAATGCACCTGTGGCTTTGGTGCCTCCGAAGCTTGCTGCTATAAAATTTTAATCATCCATCTTCTGTCAATCCAAGCTATTGGAGTGGTTGGTTGCATTAGGTGCTTCTACGACAAAAACCAAACATATAAATTTTCAAATGGCATTAAAAGCCAAACGTATTAAATTATGTTGATTAATATTGTAGAAAGCAAAGGGTGGGAAAGTTTGGAGGAAGGAAAATAAGAAGAGGGAAGATGATATGGAGTTAGGGGAGAATAAATAAAAGAAGGGAAGGCGATGGTGAAATCGAATGAAAAATATTAAACACCTAAACAATTTAGAGTTGTGATCGCATCAAAACATATATATGAAAATATGCATTTTACTTCGAGAAGTTAGTTATTTTAAGGAAGTAAATATTAAATTTAAGTGTTAAGACACATAGATAGTTGAGAGCTATGTGGTCTATATATAAAGCTATTTCATAAAGTGGAACCCAAATTATTGGGAGAAGGCATGCGATGATGACAATGATATCTAGCTATAAATCTTGAAGGGAAGGAATAATGAAGAAGGGAATTAGAAATGCAATCAAAATATAAATTATCATATTCTATCAAACATTAATTATGTGAATGTATCATTGCTCTTAATGATCATGGCATGATTTTTTTATTTGCTGTAAATTTAACCGACGTCCTGCTTGTAGGAGCATTTGAGTGAAACTAGGACTTCATTTATTTGAAAAATATTGCTGAGACTTTATCAAGAGATAGTGTTACAATGGGTATTAGTACATTCTTCGATTTGTTGTAATATGAGTGCACGCATGTCAAAGCAAATCCGATTGTTTAAAACTCATCTAGAACAAAATTGTTTTAAGATTTACTTGAATGCCGCTCAATTCCCATGTATTTACATATCTAATACCTGAACTTCAATACACACACACACACACACACACACACACACACACACATATATCTTTTAAAAAAGAATGGCCCCCGACCATCCCTACACTCCGGAGGAATCAAACTCCAGATCAGAGGGGACTTAAAATTAAAAAAGAATGGCCGGAGGCTATAATATTAGCCCCGACCATCCCTACACTCTGGAGGAATCAAACTCCAGATCAGAGGGGACTTAAAATTGACAAGTAGATGCCCGACCAACTGTTTTGAGTGCGTGTTTCTTTTTTTTCCCTTTTTGGTGGCGCAATTGCTTATCTCATTCACCATTACCACTTACCTCTCTCTGTCTCTGATATTGTTGACAGCGCGGCTGATGAAATGGTTCGCAGGAGAGAGTTTGCACAGCAGATTGTCCTCTCCACAGTCTTTGATGGAATCTCATAAGACAGATTTTGCGGTCAGTTTAATTGCCGTTCGTGGAACAGAAAACAAATTTCAATATTTTATAAGTGCTTGCAAATGTTCCATTAAACCCCTCCCCTCCCCCCAATATATACATTTGTATTTATGAATACATATATATATATATATATATATGTAGGATTCAGAACTATATTGGTAGGGTGGCTTAGTGCTGGTTGTATATTGTGGCACAGATTTTTGGTCAGTTCAGGCCTTTGGTTTGTAGCTTCAGCGTTGGTGAAACTATTGTGGATGTAATTCATATTTATGATAATGTTCCTCCCATTTAGTATTTAATTAACAAATTTAGTGGGTAGTGTGATGCTGTTTATGTTTATTTATGTGCGCTTAGATTTTCCTTTGTTAGTTAATGGGTATCATACTATTATACAACATTTTTTAAAATCTTTTTTGTAGCTTTGATTTGTAGTTATAATTTTTTGTTGTTGCTTTATTTAGAATTTATATGATGAAAATCAAATTTTAACAAAAGTGAGTTGAAATTAGTAATGTATCATAATGTATGTTTAATTATTTTTCTAACATAATTTTATAGCCCCTTGTGGTCAAATAGATCAAGGCTTAGAGTGATAGTTTAACTTAATAATTTAATTTTTTCCAAGGATTAAATCATAATATGATATTATGATATGTTTTTTTAGAATTATTTTCCTAACATAATTATATGGTTACTCCAACAACAAATGGATCCTAAGGCTTAGTTTTGGGCAATCTTTCATTGCATTATTCTATTTTCTTTTTATTTGCAGTTTTAAAATGTTTAATGTTATTAAATTATAATGATAATGAAGAAGTAGAATTTTAAGAGCTTATTGTAAAATAATTACGAAAAAAATAGTATATAAAAAAAAGTATAATAACCGTTCAAAAAATCTAGTGAAAAATGCTGAACGATAAAATTTGCAGGTTTAAAATTTAAATAAAATAAAAAATGCAAAATTATTTGCCAAAATTTTAAAAATAATATATATTTTTAAATTTATTATTTAAAAAAAAAAGTTAAGAAAATAAAATATTTTAAATAGATAAAATCGTCACATTAATATGTAACGGTGAACTTTTTATCACGTGCAAAATCAGCTGCAATGACGATTTTATTAGAAAAAAATTATAGAGGATATTTTAATTTATTATTTGTTACAATTAACATGAATAATTGACTTGATTGTAGTTATTGAAATTGATTTATCTTTCGATTTAAATATAAATGAAATTTATATAATTAAACTTAATTTATTTTGTATTGTAGTATTGATGTTTTAATTTTTATTAAAATTTTTAAACTCAGATTATAATATTAACTAAATTTTATATAATTTTAATTTATTTGTTATATTGAAAAAAATAAAAGAAAAATTAAATAAACATTATGCTTAAAAAAATCATTATGGGATCCTAACCTACAACCCCCAAAATTAAGAGTCTTGCACTCCTCCATTTGAACTAAAAGAGCTTGCCTATAAAATTTTATACATCTAATAATAATAATAATAATAATAATAATAATAATAATGTATAATTATTACTAATACTTTTTTAATCAAAATTTGTTGTGGCAAAGAAATATCATGTCAATGGACGATTTTATATGCTGACGTGACAAAATCACCACTTAGGTGACATTTAATCTATTTAGAACTTTTTTACTCTATTAAAATACTAAAATTAAAAAAAATATATATTATTTTTAAATTTTTATGAAATTATTTTAGATTTCCAATATAAAGATTATGAATTTTATTATATATTCCTGCTCGTACTTTGACATCATCTCTCATCCCATCCAAATCTACTCTTAGCTGAACCCTTGTAACGCATAATAATTGGAAGAAATGCATACATGATAATAATTTTTTAAACATAAAATTCACTTTTTAATGCATAAATTTTGAACCGGGTATTCTACAAAAGTACTTTAATGTAAATATTAAAATTTAGATGTGAAATATGTGACATATTTTTAATTTTAACTTTTACTTTTGCTTTTATTTTCACATATTTTTAATGCATCTTTTTTATATCTTTAAAAATAAATTAGCTTCTTTTAAAAATACTGAAAATACTTATTTAAAGTATTTTAAAAAAATATGCTACTTTTTTTTAAAAAAAAAACAATTAAAAAATAACATTATAAAACATACTAAATAAAAATATTTAAAAAAAAAAATTCCAAACAAGTCTTTTATATATATTTTAACATATCAAATATGCTTTATTTCAATATATATATATAAATGGGTATCATACTATTATACAACATTTTTTTTTAATCTTTTTGTAGCTTTGATTTGTAGTTATAAGACAAAAGAGTAAGTTGAAATCAATAATTTAAATTCTACAAAGTAATGTATCATAATGTATGTTTAATTATTTTTGTAACATAATTTTATAGCCCCTTATGGTCAAATAGATCAAGGCTTAGAGTGATAGTTTAACTTAATAATTTAATTTTTTCCAAGGATTAAATCATAATATGATATTATGATATGTTTTTTTAGAATTATTTTCCTAACATAATTATATGGTTACTCCAACAACAAATGGATCCTAAGGCTTAGTTTTGGGCAATCTTTCATTGCATTATTCTATTTTCTTTTTATTTGCAGTTTTAAAATGTTTAATGTTATTAAATTATAATGATAATGAAGAAGTAGAATTTTAAGAGCTTATTGTAAAATAATTACGAAAAAAATAGTATATAAAAAAAAAGTATAATAACCGTTCAAAAAATCTAGTGAAAAATGCTGAACAATAAAATTTGCAGGTTTAAAATTTAAATAAAATAAAAAATGCAAAATTATTTGCCAAAATTTTAAAAATAATATATATTTTTAAATTTATTATTTAAAAAAAAAAGTTAAGAAAATAAAATATTTTAAATAGATAAAATCGTCACATTAATATGTAACGGTGAACTTTTTATCACGTGCAAAATCAGCTGCAATGACGATTTTATTAGAAAAAAATTATAGAGGATATTTTAATTTATTATTTGTTACAATTAACATGAATAATTGACTTGATTGTAGTTATTGAAATTGATTTATCTTTCGATTTAAATATAAATGAAATTTATATAATTAAACTTAATTTATTTTGTATTGTAGTATTGATGTTTTAATTTTTATTAAAATTTTTAAACTCAGATTATAATATTAACTAAATTTTATATAATTTTAATTTATTTGTTATATTGAAAAAAATAAAAGAAAAATTAAATAAACATTATGCTTAAAAAAATCATTATGGGATCCTAACCTACAACCCCCAAAATTAAGAGTCTTGCACTCCTCCATTTGAACTAAAAGAGCTTGCCTATAAAATTTTATACATCTAATAATAATAATAATAATAATAATAATAATAATAATAATAATAATAATAATAATAATAATAATAATAATAATAATAATAATAATAATAATAATAATAATAATAATAATAATAATAATAATAATAATAATAATAATAATAATAATAATAATAATAATAATAATAATAATAATAATAATAATAATAATAATAATAATAATAATAATAATAATAATAATAATAATAATAATAATAATAATAATAATAATAATAATAATAATAATAATAATAATAATAATAATAATAATAATAATAATAATAATAATAATAATAATAATAATAATAATAATAATAATAATAATAATAATAATAATAATAATAATAATAATAATAATAATAATAATAATAATAATAATAATAATAATAATAATAATAATAATAATAATAATAATAATAATAATAATAATAATAATAATAATAATAATAATAATAATAATAATAATAATAATAATAATAATAATAATAATAATAATAATAATAATAATAATAATAATAATAATAATAATAATAATAATAATAATAATAATAATAATAATAATAATAATAATAATAATAATAATAATAATAATAATAATAATAATAATAATAATAATAATAATAATAATAATAATAATAATAATAATAATAATAATAATAATAATAATAATAATAATAATAATAATAATAATAATAATAATAATAATAATAATAATAATAATAATATATATATAATAAAAATATCATCTTGCCCTCAAAACTAAATTCATAACAGCCAAATTCCTTCAAATTACCAATCATGATTGAAATTAGGGAAATTTACAAACATACCAGAATTCATATGTATGTACACATCTAATATGAAAACTTTAAGATTTACCTAAAGATTTGAATGGCATGAGTAAATATTAAAATTTAAATGTCACCTACATAAATATATAATAATTATGTGGTAAGTACATAAATATCCTTTAAATTAACATGAAATTAATTCCTCCCTCTACTACCACCAAGTAAAAAATGCCAAAGTATTTGGTTAACAGAAGAATCAAAGCAGCTAAATGATATAAATCAGTGTATTGATATCAAATGCAGCATCATATATCCAAAGATTATAAAATTCAAAAGGGTTTCAATGATTAAAAATATATGATTTAAATTGCTGATTGAACTTCTCAACTACATGAAACTATATTAGGAAGCTTGAGACAACTTACCAGGAGAATGGATAAGGTCATCAAAGAAACAGGCTCTTGAATTTTCCATTGGCAAGTTTGCATAGCCCATTATAAGAAACAGCATCTGTGGAGAAAAGAGAATTTTATAAAGGGAATTTACATATAATACCATCTCATTCCTATGTATTTACATATCTAACACCAAAATTTTATCTTTTACATGTATATCAGCCAAATATTTCATATCAGATAAAAAATTCCACTATTTCAACTTTATAAAAGTGAAATTCACCTTTTCATGCATAGGTAAGATGAGAAATATATAAAAAATTTAAGTTTGGGTGTTAGATATGCAAATATGCATAGAAATTGAGTGGTATTTTTGTAAGTCTTCCAATTTATAAATATATGAAGATCATTTACATGCATACCACATAATTTTTAAGTATTTACATATCTAAAACCTCAATTTTCATATTTACATACATATAACTCAAATCTTTAATATTATATAAAAAAATACCACTTGCTAACTTTTGACAAGTGAAATACAGCATTTCATGCATAAATTTATGACAATAAAATATTACAAATGTAAAAAAAATGTAAGATCCGAACTTTTCCGCTTCCTACACGATAGTCGCTCTATTTCTGTGATTTTCCGTCTATTGAGATGCCCCACTGAATCGTGTTTTCTTTTCTTCCTTGCTTGTTTCCAATCCCATTGAAAGATTTTATTTCTTATTTTGCTCACTGCTTTCCAGTCAGGCTCCCGCATTTGATTTTTACAATCTCTTCCTGCCTTTATGTTTTCTCTCGCTTGCTTGCTTGCTTGCTGCCTTAGTTACCGCTTTTGTTGCTTTATTTAAGAGCAAGCAAGGGCTAGGAAGACATCGATGGGATTGTGGAGTACAAAGACCACCAAAACTCTCATATTTCTCCTCCTTGTAGCAACTTTGCAACTCCCGTTACCTTCACCTTGCTTGGGAGTAACTGTCGAACCCTCACCTTTTTCCTCTTTGACCGAGGGCAGAGGGCAGAGATCAAACCTCATAAACCTTCCTCGATCGAGGTAGCATCATAAGCCTTCGTTTTCTTTTCTTATTTAAGACCAATATTTTATACTTATATCTACATCTAAATATGTACATGTATATATTTACTTTTAACAAGCTTATTATGAAAGAGGTGTCAATTTTAATTATTTAGAATGCTCTCAATAGAAGAGGTGTTGCAGCCACTCGCACAACACAAAAAGTGGTGCCTATCCTTAGGGGTCATCACTCCCCTAACTGCCATTATGTTGATCTTGCTCAATCTATTGAGGTTGCCAAAACACCACCACTGAGCATGAAAACTCTCATGGAAATTGTGACAAGAAACATTACCCAATCACTATAAGCCATTATTGCAGCTAAAATCACATAGACGTTTCAGACCATGTAGCAACCTGCTCAGCCAACACAACAAAAAGCTCAACTTGTATCTCAAGTTGCTATCGTGAAAGCTCAAGTTAACCAACCAGTGGAGATGGCCAAAGGGAGTGCGACAGATCGAGTGATTAATCAATTTTTAAAGACGCACCCTTCTACCTTCAATGGCATAGTGGGCCCAATTGAGCCAGACGAATGACTTCATAATATTGAGAAGAGACATCATAGAAATAAGTGCCCCGAAGACCACAAGATAAACATTGTGACCTTCCAATTGCACGAAGGAGCTAATAATTTGTGGGAGAGTCACTGTTGCAATACATTTAGACCCGAAAAAAATAATCTCTTGGGCGGATTTCAAGACTATTTTTATAGGAGTATTTTCCTATGGTAGACAGTGCAAAGATGATGAATGACTTAAGGAAACAGGAGCAAGGATTAAAGACAATTCGTGAGTACGAGCACAATTTACAAGAATCTTGAGATTTATCCCTTCGATTGCAAGCACGGGGATCAAAATGTTTATTATTTTCTTTTCGGCCTATGAGAAGATATTCGAAGGAGCTTGTCTGTTATCAAGTGTACTACCTATAGATACTTGGTGAATCGAGCTATAGATAGAGTTAGAGTTGCATGCGTGTGAGGAAAAGAACATTGAGAAATGAAAGAACCAAGATGATTAGACAAGACCACTAAAAAAAACACCATAGAAATATACCAAGGAGCAATTCTAATTTCCCTAACTGCAGGAAGAGACACATCAGACCTCACAACCTAACCATTGACAAATGCTACAACTGCTACAACACTTATCACAAGAACAATGATTTCCCTTTCCCGACCCAAACTCAATCCACATTAAACCAAGAGACCAATTTGAAGAAACATAAGAATAGGTGGCATAAATCTAATAAATGTCAACACTAGAAGCAAAATGATAAAGGACATACAAGTCAATACTATTTTCGGTCCCAACAGTAGCTGAAACAAATGATGGTGTCTCATGCATATCAACATCCTCCTGTACTACAGTACTAGTAGCACCAACAATCATCACCGATGTATCAACCCATATCAATGGTACTGCACCAATCTCAACGACCTCAGGCTTCAGAGCAGCTCAGAAAAGAGATTCAACCTCGAGCATTTGTTATGACACAACAAAGAACCCATGACGTCCTAATGTGGTGACGGATATTATCTCTATTTTAAAACAATTGACAATGGTATTATTTAATTTTGAGGCATCACATTCATTTATATTATATAAATTTACATTTAGTACAACATTTTTTCATTTGAATCACATATCACATTAACTACCTCATCTGACTCATCATTGCATGTCACTGGTTTCATGATAGTGAGGTTATTATTAGCAAAATGCATATACGCGCTACAATATACTATTTCCCACTAGCGGGTTTTGATGTAAGCTTAGGTATGAATTTGGGGATCAATATCTTTCAAGGGTTGTAGTATGTAAGATCTGAACCTTTCCGTTTCCTTCCACCTCACACAATCATCGCTTTGTTTTTGTGATTTTCCCTCTATTGTTTTACCTCGCTGAATTGTGCATGTCACTCGACATTTTTTTTCTCTTCTTTCACTCATTTCCAATTTCACTGATTTTGTAGTTCTATTTCCTTATTTGCTTGCCGCCACCCCGATCAAATTCACACATTTGATTCTTACAACTCTTCATGCCTTTGTTTTTTTCACCCGCTTGCTTCCCGCCTTAGCTACCGCCTTCGTTACTCTATTTAAGAGCAAGTGAGTGCTAAGACAACATGCCCTCCCCTACTAAGGCTGATGACCCGATAGTTCTCTCTCCCTCTTTTCCTTTAAAGGCATCGACAAGATTGTGGCATACAGAGGCCACCAAAAGTCTTATCTTTCTCCTCCTTTTAACAACTTCACAACCCCATTACATTCTCCTTGCTCGAGAGCAACTGTAGAACCCTCATATATTTCCTCCTAGACCGAGGGCAACCAAAACCAACAAACCTTCCTCACCTATTTCCTTGACTAAGCTAGCACCATAAGCCGCTGTTTTCCTTTCTTATTTAAGGCAAATATTTTATTTTTATAGCTACATCTATATATATA